AGAGTTAATGACCTTTCACATCCTAAAATGAAATTCAAAGTTGACATGAATGCACAACAACTTGGGCTTACCGGTACAGTAATCATCAACCCGAATTTTAGTGTTATCATCGTGGAAGGTGGACCAAAATCAATAAAATATTATAAAAAATTAATGTTACGACGAATTGATTGGCAAGATACAACTAGATTGGGAGAAGGAAGTAATAGTGGTGTTGGTGGTATTGGTGATCTTCAAGAATCTGATGAACTGATGATAACCAAAGAACCAAAAGAGAACAAGTGTTCGTTAATATGGGAAGGTGAAGTTAAAGAACGCGGGTTTAAAGGATTTTGGTTCAAGACTTCTCCAACAGATAATATGGCTAGAGAATACTTGAAAAAACATAAAGCTGAACATTATTGGGATTTGGCAAGCAAATTTACTGATGAATTGGGTGAATTGACTACTTTGGTATAAAAAATTATAGTGATTCGATTAATATAATGTGGTAATAATGATTTTTTTGGTGTATATCTGTAACAATTATTGTAATCAATATTATTAGTGGAAAAAAAAGTTTATAACTTAATTTTCATCAATTTTTAAATAAAATTCGAAATTCAATAATGATTTATAAGTTTTTGAATTTGTGTTGGAGTTAACATCCAACATACATCATAAATAATTTCAATATCGCTTGGTGTTGCCTATTAATAAAATAAAAGTAATTATAAAATTTGCAAAATAACAAAACCATAAAAAAATTCATTCAAATTTACTTTTTTGAGTTGAAGAAGTTTAGTAGCTTGCATAAGATGTTCCAATTGAAGTGTGCCTTCAGGCATTTCGTGACTCTTGCACCACTCCTCTATTCTAGTAATATTGTACTGAATTTGCATGGCTGTTTATAACAATAATAATTAAAGATATGATAATGCGTTGAAATTAGAATTAAAATAATAATAACAAATGTATGTATGTTGAATAATGTTTAATTTTAAACAAACCTCGCTTCCACGAACAGAAACTTCTTCTCATTAACAAATCATTGAATGACGTTACACCGATAAGTTTTAACAACTCGGTAACCACTTGTTGAACAACAGTCAATTCAACGTAATAAGATTTCATTGATTTCCACACTTTATTCAAAAAATTAAGTAGATCATCCATACTGAATGCAGGTGTTGTAGGACCTGTGATGAATTTGGCAATGAAACGGCTTTCACTGGTTATGAATCCAGGCAGTGATTGGCTTTCAATAACAGCTGGAATGATCATCTTATACAATCGTTTTTTAAGTTCTTTCATCCAAGTATGATAAATGTTATATTCTAAACTTTCCAAATCATGCTTAACAATTGATACCAATCTTTCATAATCATGCCATACAAAATCTTTACTACCAGATTCCTCTGCTGGGTTTACTCCACGAAGCATATCTTTCTCAGATGCATTGGCAAACGACAATAATTCATGTACGTTGGACAACCAAAAGGCACCCGGAAGAATTGCATCATCACCTTCAAAATCCTATACAATAAAAATTTTTTTGTAATATATCTAATTTCCTAATTCAAAAAAAAACTTGTTATTATTGAATAAATTACCATAACATGTTCTTGTATGGTTTTCATAACATTGGCAAATAATCTTTCGGATTCTTTTATATATCCAAGTTTCCACATTTGTTTTGCCAACAAAGTTATCAAGCGAGCAGGAAAAAGTATTTCCTTTTGTGACGGAGGATTTTGTAAACTCGGTAAAGGTATTTTTAATGATTTAATTAATCCATTAATCACTTCTTCATCAAGAGCTTCTTCGTCTTCTAAAAGCTTCATAATCTAGTAATATCATTTGAAATTAGTATACTAATGTATATATATATAAAATGTAAATATGATAATTTACCTCGTCTTCTGGATCATCCTCTATGTCTGATAAATGAATACGTCCACCTGGAGCTCGAATTTTTGGAATATTCATTTGAGTATACGATATAGAAACTGGTCTCACACTACCTTTTTTGCCTTCAGCCATTATTAAATCAGTTGATGTTTTATTTTTTCTTTTAGATACTTCAGTAGGACCCCAAGATTCAGCAAAACTGTGTCTTCGATTTTTTCGTTTCTGAGTTGATGGAGGTTTAAGAGTTGTGTTACTACCATTAGTTAAGTAGCTAGTTTCTTGGCGTGGATTTGATGTAGGTGGAGTAGGTGTTCCTTTCATACTAGCAGACTTGACCTTGGCCAATTGTTCTCTTAAATTAGCTATCTCTTGTTTCAATGCAAGAACAGCAGCAGGATCTTCTGTACCTTTGTATTTAGCATTAGTTGCACGAAGTTTTGTAATTTCTTCATCTTTTTTGGTGTTGTCGGATGTGATTTTTTGTATTTCTAAATCCTGTTTTTTGATATTGTCCAATGATGTACGATACCGACTTTCTAGAGTTTCTTTTTCAGCCTGCAGTACTTTAAACTCTTCAATTTTAACGGTGGACTGTGATGTTTCATTTTTGAATTTCTTTGAATCATTTTCCAATTTCTCGTATCTTTCAAGAATGGATTTGATTTGACTTTCTAATGTACTAGTTCTCAACTCTAGGTTCTTATTTTCTTGAACTTTTTGTTCCAGACTTTGGGTAAGCTCGATAACTTTGTTTTCAAGTTTATATGAAACTTCTTTTAGATGTGTTGCAGAACGTGCTTCAATCTTCAATTTCTTGAGTTCAGATCTAGCCATACGACGACGAAGACATGATTGAACGAATATAACATGCTTAACTGTTCTCTTGTATTCACGACGAGCTGACCTATTTTGGTAATTGTAATAGGTATTATTATTGGTATTATTTAATATTTTAAGTATTATTAGCATTTAAATTTAAATTTAAATTTTACCATCCACGATATACAGCTTGAATTTTAGTTGCAGAGTCATTGCGAAGCATATCTTGATATCTTTTCCTTGCAATAATACCACGAATAACTATTTTAAAAATAGTAAATTTTTTTATAATAAAAAAATTTAAAAAACCACAAGTATATATATACATATATTATACTATATTTACCAGTTTGCAATTTGTAAATTGCATTTTTGGCACGTAAATAACGTTTTCTTTGAACGTAACCCCTCCA